AACAGGCATAATAGGAACAAAACATAGGCATGTTGCTTAGCAACCGAGGAGCTACAGGTTTGTCACACACACATACTCATAACTCCTTCATTTCAGGGAACCCCCCCAGGGTAGGAGCGTCATTTCTGGAAGCTGGGTTATCCCAGTGATGAGTCCTAGAGCTCATGAAGCTTTGCCTGTGAGTCTGGAGGACTGAGGTGTAGGTACCTCTGATACAGTGCCAACCTTCCAGCTGACCTGAACCCAGGCTGCTGTTGACAGGAGTCTGAAAGCTTGATGAAAACACGGGTTTCCTTTTCAGTGTTAGAACAGAGGAGACTCTTAAAGTGAGCGTGGTGTGTGTGTGTGTGTGTGTGTGTGTGTGTGTGTGTGTGTGAGAGAGAGAGAGAGAGAGAGAGAGAGAGAGAGAGAGAGAGAGAGAGAGACATGCATCTGACATTGGGTGTGGGACAGCGGAATAAAAGGGTAGAAAACAGAACTGGCAGGGAACTGAAGACAAGGTAGGGGTTGTGAGACATTCCTTCTGGACTGTGGCTGTAGGGCAGCGATTCCATCCTGCTGAGTTCCCTCTTGTCTACTTCACTGACACAAGTCCTTGGCCCAGTGTTGGATGGACAATAATGTTTGTGCAGCTGCAGCAAAGTAGGGGAATTGTTCCCTGGGGGTTGACAGTCTGGAAAAGATGTGATAGAGAGGCAAGACACTTGTACAAAGAATAAGGATTTTAGAGCCAGTTATCCCGAGAGCACTCCTGAACATGTCACTGAAGGCTGAGGATATACCTTAGTGGCGGCGTGTTTGCCTAGTATTGATCACTAGCTGGCTTTGATTATTAGCATCACAGCAAATAACTTGTTTCTGAGCAATTGCTGCATGTCTGCCAGTGTGCCCCCCACCCCAGCACACGAGGAGGAACATCCCTTGTCTTTTGGGAGTGTAAATGTGAGTGGGAACTTTAATTTTTCCTTTGCCAGCTCTGTGACTGTAGGTATTTCAGTAACCCCTCTGAGACCATTTCCTCATCAAGCACCTCTCTCTCAGGGTATGTGAGGACTCAGTGAGCTGATGGGCGAAAAGAGTCACATACGGGCTGGAGAGATGGCTTAGTGGCTAAGAGCACTGACTGCTCTTCCAGAGGTCCTGAGTTCAATTCCCAGCAACCACATGGTGGCTCACAACCACCGATAATGAAATCTGGTGCTGTCTTCTGGCCTGCAAGGACACATGTAGGCAGAACACTGTATACATAATAAATAAATCTAAAAAAAAAAAAAAAACCAATTAAATGTTTGTTTTAAAAAAAGAGTCACATACAATGGCTGTTAGGGTGGGATTTCCACGGAAAACTTTTGTGTGTGTGCTTTTTTGAGACAAGGTCTCACTGTAACCCAGGTTGGCTTGGAACTAAATAGTCCAAACTGGCCTGGAGCTCAGCGATCCTCCTGCCTCACCTCACTGAGCGTTCAGATTACAGCCATTGAACTGTCATCACAGTTCTGGAAACTTGAAAACAACCCCTTCCTCCGGGCTAGTTAGGAATCCCAGGTCTGGTTCTAATCGAACTATCATGATCTTTAAGGAGCTGGGTCGAGGTTATCCCTTCTCTGTTCTCTTGGCCTGGAATGGGACAGGAGCCAGTTCCCAGAACTCGGCCCTGACCAGGTAACCTTGGCATGTTTAACCCTGAGTGAAGTGTCTGGACAGTGATCCCTGTCCTGCTAACTGCTCCAAAAGCCAGCATTGCCCTCCTGCCTTCTTCCCTGTTGACCGAGAGGGTGGCCAGAGCAAACAGTGGGGCAGTACCATTGGCTCAGAGCCCAGGAAGCTCGCTGTCCTGAGAGGACGGACTGAGGACGGACGGACGCAGCTGAGGTGACTGATGCTCACATCCCTTCCTTTTCTTCTTTCTCTCCTGTGCCAACCTCCTTCCCCCTCCCCCACCCCACCCCACCTGGAGTGCTCCTTGCAGATACCCAGTGTCTCTGGGCTTACATCACATCATAGCCACCTTCCTGAAAGCCCTGGGATAAATGAATCAATTTCCTTTTGAACATTAGGAAACTTGTTCTTCCAAGGAATCAAATGAAGATTCATTTCAAAGTGAAAAATCTGTTGGTAAATGATTAACTGGTGACTTTTGGGGAGAGTATCTGAGTAGAGAAAAAGGGAGAAATTTACTTTTTGTTTTTTTGAAACAAGGTATTATGTAGCCTAGGCTGACTTTGAACCCTTTATGTAGGCAAGGTCACAGATGACCCTGACTCCTAGGGGTTGGGGCCAGACAGTCTCAGAGTGTACCACGAAACTAGGCAGTTCAGTTTTTATTGTTCTACTTCTCTGTATTGCTTAAATTTCAAGGGTTGGGATGCAGCTCAGTTGTACAGTGTTCATTTTATCATGTAAGAGGCCTTGGGTTTGATTCCTAGCACACACACACACACACAAACAACAAAGACCTAACAAATACCCCTCATCACTATGGAGCATTGATTTTTTTTTTTTTTAATGTCAACAAGGATTACCTGGTTTGCAGAGTACTTTATCTTATTCTTGGTCTATGTTTAAGGAAAAAAAAAAAAAGAAATAAATGCTATTTATATGTAGATAGGGTCTCACTATGTAGCCCAGGTTGGCCTCAAACTCACAGAAGTTGCCAGTTATTGCCTCTTGAGTGCTGGGATTAGAGGTATGCACCATCATACCTGGTTCAATAAATGTATGCATACGGATTTAAAATGAGTGAAATCAAATGTCTTGGTGTGGTGAACATTTGAGAGGCTGAGGTGGAGTTGCTGTACACATGAGGACAAACAAACCTATATTGTGAATTCCAGGCCAACCTGGGCTACATTGTAAAACCCCATTTCAATAAATCACGATTAAGCCGGGCGGTGGTGGCACATGCCTCTAATCCCAGCACTTGGGAGGCAGAGGCAGGTGGATCTCTGTGAGTTCGAGGCCAGTCTGGGCTACCAAGTGAGTTCCAGGAAAGGCACAAAGCTACACAGAGAAACCCTGTCTCAAAAAACCAAAATAATAATAATAATAATAATAATAAATAAATAAATAAATAAATCACGATTGATTGAGGGCTAGCCTAGGAGATGACTCAGCCTGTTAAGTCACTTGTCACCAAGCCTGATGACCTGTTTGATCCCAGGACCCACGTGGTGGAAGGAGAGAACCAACTCCAAGTTGTCCTCTGACCTCCACATGTGCATGCACACTAAATAAATAAATTCAAGAATGACTGGCTCTTGAGTTTTTTTTTTTTTGAGTTATGTTTTGACCTGATCCTTACTGTGCTATCTCTGGTGGCCTGGAACTCACTACTATGTAGCCCCTAGTGAGTGCTGGGAAAGGCGTGGATTTTTTTTTTTTTTTTTTTTTAAGGTTGAGCCTATGACAGACAGTGTGCTCGTGATGATGTCTGGTAGGGTTGAGTCACCAGATGAGAGAGAGAGAGAGAGAGAGAGAGAGAGAGAGAGAGAGAGAGAGAAAGAGAGAGAGAGAATGTTAGTGGCCAATTCTCTGCTTTGCCTGTCTTTACATGTCCATGCCTGTCTGAATTTCTGCCTTGTTTCTCCACCTTGGCGCGTCCATCATACGTGTCTGTCGTCTGTCGCTCCCTGCTGTTGCGTCCCCTCCCCCCCACCGCCTGTACCCTGTGTGGTAACTGGACCTGGACACAGCCCCCAGGGCTGGCAGGAGACTTGCCTGATATTTTTAGCCTGTAAACATGTTTGCCATTTCAGAGGACAGGGCAGGGCTGGTCTCAGCACCAGCCCACTCATGATCTTGGAGCGAAGGAGCTCCTACCTCAGGCCAAGGTCTCGGTTCTCCAGCCTGAGGTCTCTTGGGGCATTTGGAAAGGAAGGGAAACTGGAGTGGGCAGTTGGGGAGCCACTTGCCAGGGAGGGTAGAACTCTTGGGGAAGAAGAAAAAGGGAGGTGTGTGGGGAGGATGTAGCCAGAAGGTCCCTGCAACCCCGTCATTAAGCATTTAATAAAATCCACATCTAGTTAGAAGTGGCTGTGGGAAATGGCCGTAAACTGGGGAGCTGAACAACTTGCAAATGGGAATATGGGGGAGGGGCCGCGGGGCAGGAGAAAGACCGAGGAGGCAAAGAAAAAGCTGCATGTTGGGTTCCCCAAGGTTAGTGCGGCATGGTGGCCCACACCTTTAATCCCGGGAAGCAGAGGCAGGCGAAGCTGTGAGGCTATCCGGGGTCTAGCCAGATCCAGGACGGCCGGGGCTACATAGACTGCTGCCCTCCAGACAAAACAACAAAACCCCCAAACAGCATGGGGACAGTGTCTGCAGAAGAGGGTGAGCAGCCTCGTGACTCACTGGTCCAGGGGCTGCAGGCCTGACTCTGGGGTCGCGGCACTGGCTGAACAGCACCGTGATATGGTGCAGAGGTGATCCCATTTCTAGGGGTTGGGGTCTGAGTCTGAAGAGTCAGCATGTTTTGTAGAAGGAGATGAGAGGGCCTTGAGAAAGTCTGAAGGTGAGAAATGGGTGCGGCTGCAAGAAGCTTGGGAACCAAGACAGGAGGCGAGGGCCTGGGACTGAAGTGTCTAAGCTTGGGAGAAAGCTCAAAGGTCTGTGTTGAGGCTGGAGGTCGAGGCTGAATCATCTGAGCTGCTTGGCTCTTCCTGCAGAAGGGGTTGACGCTGAATTCCAACTGCGAGGGTGAGCCCCTGCACTTGCGTGCTTCCAGGAATTTCTTGCCGGTGGAAGCACACACTGCTCAACCTGGGGTGGGAAGATCCAGACCCGGGACAGGAGCAATAGATGGGATAGGGGAAGGGAATAGGCGACGCCTCCTCGTCCCTGAGCCCCCTCGCCAGTCTCCCCTCACCAGCCCACTCCCGGGTGGCTTCAGCGTTGGTCTCGCTCTCGGGTCCCAGCCCTGCTCGGGCCCCGCCCGGCCCCGCCCTCTCCCCACAGCTCGGGGCAGACCCGCCCGAGTTACAAGAGCCGCCTCCGCGCGCGGGGGCCCGGCCACTTGGAGCAGCTCTGCCGCGGGGACTGCACTGTCCGCCCTGCCAGACCCGCCCCGACTGGGGCTCGCCGTCGCCAGCAGTCACAGCACTGCGACCTCGGGCCCTACGCCGGCTATGGCTGCGTCCTGGGACTGAGCCCGCAGGTAGGGAAGCGAAGCGCAGGGTAGTGCGGTCTGGAGCTAGGGCATGGGTGGCCAGGGGAGGGAGGGACTCGGGCGACGTGCATTTGCGGTAGTGTCACTGCGAGGGTTCCAACAGTTAAGAGCAAACCCGGCCGCCTGTGGCTGCCGGGGCAGGAGACGCGTCGCGCTTCGGGAGTGGAGCTCTCTCCTCCGGAGTTGGGGCACAAGTCGGGCTAAGTTAGAAAATCGCTTCGATATGTGCTTTGATGCGCTTTATGTTTTTTTCCTGTGGGCGGACTGTCGTCCCAACTGCTCTGCAGGGCGCAGCGTTCCTGGCCTGGTGGCCCCTGTCCCACCCCTTCACTTTGGGGCGGTGGCTCGGAGCGCTGCTGGGTTCCTATTCCATGTTTACTGGAAAAGTTTTCCGAGATCCCCGTCGCAGTTCTCCCGCCCCTCCGGCGCCCCTCCACCGCGTACCCCCTCTGCTGTCCTTCGCGGCTCTCCACACCTCCGCCCCGAACTCCGCGTCCGGAGTCCCCTCAGCCCCACCCTGCTCTGTACCACCAGCCTCTCCCTTTCTGGCTCCTAGGGGCGCCTTCAGCAGCTCCCCTTCAGCCGCCCCGCCCTAGTCTTGCCCCTCCGTGTTCCCAGACCCAGAAGACTCCCTTCTTCCTCCAGGGCGTCGGAGCCTGGAAGTTTGCAGCGCGCCTCCCTGCGGGATGGGTGGGAGTGGGGGTGGGGGACATAATTAGGGAGATTCCTGCGCTGGAGTGGGCGGGGAGGGGGGCTGTGCAAGCGACTCAGTCCCCAGAACCTCCCTTGCTCCTTCTAGAGGCGGTGCTTTCTCCCCACCCCACCCCACTCCCAAACTCGTCCGGGCGGGATGGCCCCCGCCCCAGCGCCTGGCTAGACGCCAGCAGCCTGAGGAATGTAGTGGTTGGAGCCGGTGACTAATTCAAACCAGAATTCGGGGGGGGGGGGAGGAGTGGTGAGGGGCAAAAGGGAGGGGGAAAGGGGCAGTGAGTAGGCGGTGGGGGCCAGAGCGCTGGGCGTAGGTGAAGGACTTCACTGCGCTCTCTGGAACCCTCCACTTTTGCTGTGTGAGCCAGCGGAGAGGGCGGGGGCGGGGGGCGAGATCCTGCTGTGGGGTTGGAAAGGCAGCATGCTTAGGGTGTGTGCAGAGAGCTGTGTTATGTAAGGCTTTCCCATGCAGGGAGGGGATGTGCAGTGTGCAAGGGCCTGGGCCTCCTTTGGCCAGAAGCCCCTTCCAGTGCCAGGGCGGGTTTGGGGGGAACACAGAACCTTGGTGGTGCTGGGTTGGCAGCAGGGCTAGCTGTACTTGGCGGCGAGCATTGGAAGACTCTTAGAGGGGACCTGGGGATGTCCTACAACTCAAACTGGGCCCCGACAACGTAGAGTGTTAACGGTGTGTGCGTGTGTGTGTGTGTGTGTGTGTGTGTGTGTGTGTGCGCGCGC